CTGCTGCTGCCGCTGCCGCTGCCCCTGTTGGCCCGCCCATCCATCCATCCTTTCATGCTCGCGCGCCCTTTCATTCGCCCGGTCGCGCATTCGCGATTTCGCGAGATTTTGGCGAACGATGGGGAAGCTGGAGCGAAGAAGATGCTCACGTCGGAAGGCGGTCGAGCATGAATGAGCTGGGGGGATGGCAGCGGCAGCGAGCGACGCAGGCGACGCTGGCGGTCCCGCTACTTTCGCAGAGCGCCAGTGGCACTAGCAGCGAAGAGCGAGATATCGAGCGATCGTTATTCGGGGGCGGTGATACCGTGCGTGCAAGCGCGGATACCCGCAAGTGCATGGCCGTCGCCATGTAGGATCTGACAGGCGGAGGGACCCACGCAGGGGCTATTGCCCTGGGAAAGATATAACCCCCACGTCTCTAATTAATATTTAGCATCTGCCACGTGCTAGTGGGCCCCGCCGGCTATCAAAAGTTAAAGGCGGCGTTACCTTACCCCAAGTCAAACTGCGTTGAACATCCGGGCGGAAGAAGAGGCGTGTGGCAGTAAGAAGTTCGTGTCGCGGGTAATTTTCTGGCCCGAGTTACGTGACGCGCGGGCGAGCCCCCCTCCTTTAAACCCTTCCGCCCCGGCTGCCCGGGGTTTGAACCCCAAACCCCCAAAAGTCCGTTGCACCCGGGCAGCGTACGTAGTAACGTATCACGTAACGTAAGTCGGGGCTTCCTCGAGATATGAACGACATACGACGGTCCGAAAAAAGAACACGCCGGCGAAATTAGTTTGACCCGCGGGGGGTGGGGGTGGGGGTGTGGGGGGGTGCACTTGCCAGATAAGGTTCGCCGATGATGCTGTGATGTCCCGCGGCATGGCATCCCATGGCAGCATCACATGTCATGGTATGGTTCGGACTATGGGTATGCGCATGGAGAGGGGGTGCTCATGGGGGGTCGTCGAGCCCACCCCCCTCCCCACCCCCGCATCATGGATGCATGCCTGGCTCATCGAGCCAGCCTGGGATGTCCCATGACTCATGGAACCCCCTCAACCACCCTGTACCCGTTACCGTATCTTCCCTGTTCGGTGCTGGCTCGCAGTAAATGTAACACCACCACCACCACCTCCTCCTCCCCCTCCACTTGTTGACGTTATCCGGCGCCCCTCTCTACGAGCCCCAAGCCCAAGCCCAAGCCCTTCCCCCACCCTTCGGTGCTTCTTTCGTCTCACAAGAATCCACCTGAACCAGGGAGCGAGCGAGCGAGCGACCCGGACCTAATCCTTTCTTTAATTGCCTTCGATTCAGCGATCCCCCACGGATAAACGATCGAATGTATATTGTTGTTTAATCTTGTGCATGGGGGAGGGCTAAGAGCGATGCAAGCGGGGTCCCAAAGTGTGGTTGGCTCGGAGGCTATTTTCCCTTCGTGTGGGGGCTTATAACTGTCACATTGGAAGGTTTATTTTCGTCTTATTTTTCGACTTGCCTGAGCCGCTCCAATGATTTGGGTTAGGATCAGGTAGATTTCACGGAGGTGCACTTTGTCTTGTATTCTATATAATTAACGAGGAGCTGAAGTGGTCATGTACCTATTATAAGATCCCTTTGTCTTTACGTCCTGTACCTGGGTTCAGAAAATGGGCGGAGTATTGCTGCACGGATAATATGACCATTTGAACATGGTGACTGCACGATTCTCTGAGATCAGCGAGCCCACATGAGAAAAACCTAGGTAAGCATGACTTCTCATTAACCTTTGAGCATGAGAAGCTCTCCTACCGAGCCCAGCGTAAAGTCGGTTGGATTCACATTCCTCTCTTATTCCTCGATCGGTTGGGAATATTATGAGCTGTACGAGATGCAGCCTGTTCTAGTCGCAATAGCTTGCACCTCCTTTTGCCCCCATTGACGATGGACATGGTTTGTTTCTTACAACGACGGTCCGAACAGTTCAGCTTTCGAGTCCGTAATATCTTTACTACCCCGATAGATAGATCGCCCACGTACTGTTTGTTTCACGTTTCGCAGTGACTTCTTCGGGTTGTCGAGAATAGGCAACGAAAGCCCACAGAATCAATAACTCGCTGAAGCTGAAGTGTAAATCGAGTGTAAGAGTTGGGCATCACCCATTTGATTTCATCCTCGTACGGTGTAGATTTGATGGGGTCTTCACATACTTTTGGTGAATTTACTTGGTCCCTCGGGTCCTTAATAGAGTTAGAGAAACATCAATTTTATATCTTTTATGTATATCTCGAGTCGATATGGATATGAGAGCATGTTGCGTGTCATGGGGTTCGATCACGCTGCGTGAATGTCAGGAGTAGTCCAGCTACGACTGGAAAGAGAGACGCTTGTGTGCAAAGGTTGATGCGTTCCTAAAGCGACGGGTGTTTAGGGGGCAAGGGTGGAACAATTACGCAAGAGTTTGCGAGGAAAGGAAGCCCCACTTGGCAAGGCTCGATGGAAAAGGGGCAAGGCAAGGCAAGGGGGGGCAGAGCAGAATGAGACGGATTTGGCGTAGAATAATAAGTTGACGATACAAAGGAGCGAGACGGGTTATGACACTGATGGTGTCCTGATGCAGCAACTCCTTCCCACGGTCGGTGGAGTTCCCGTCGTCGCGTCGCGCAGCTCGACTGGTCATCACACGGAGGGAGAGAGAGAGAAAGGGAGGGAGGCAGCGAGAGCAGCTCATTTATGCATCATAATATATGGAACATAAGGGAACAATCCCCTGCTGGGAAACAAGACGCAAATCGCAGAGTGTACTGATGGCTGGCGGTGTATCGAACCCAACATATGGCAACAAACAAATACCGCAGTACTGTATGAGGGGCGAGACAAGTTTTGTCCCCTTCGCTGTGACAGCCCGAGGGTGGCCGGCTTAAGCACTCGTCGAGCCGTAGAGAAAATAGGGGAACGGACAGCGGAGGTGGGATGCACAAGCCCCACCGGGGGTTGGGGTTCGGGGATCGGGGATCGGGGTTGGGGGTTCGCGCCCCCCGTCGTCGAAAGGGGCGACGGGTCGCGCAAGACAGCAAGAGCCCCGAGACGTGCACTTTAGCCGTCAAAAAGGCAATAGTGCTAAGCTGTCCTAGTAAGAAGGGGGGCTTGTTATCTAGCGTAGCCCTGGTAAGGTATTCCTTAATGGTCGTCCACATCTAACGCCACGTTCGGCCCGGGTAAAAGAGCGGGTGCCCCCGGTTTACCGCGCTGGCAGGGGCCCAGCCGGCAGTAAAAACGGGGGAGGAAATAGCAAGCCCAGCCGCAGCAGCAGCGGGGGTTGGGGGACGGGCGCCGGGGGACGGGGGAACCGACGCACAGAGCGAGAGGGAGAGAGAGACGGTAGCGAAGGAAGAGGTCAGGCAGTCGGTTTCACCGGAACTGCGGCCTCGGCCTCTCGCCCTCTCGTCTGCGAGAGAAGTCGTGAATCGCAATCGTAGCAGGTGTGCTGACATCGTGCCAAGGATCATGAGGAGGGAGAGATGGAGATGGGGGCGGGCGGGCGAGCCAGAGAGTGAGAGTGAGAGCGAGAGAGTGATGGTGTGTGCGTATGTAGTTCTCTCTGCACCTCCTCCACCTCCTGCTCCACCTTTTCTTCCGTCTGCTCTGGTCTGCTCTGCTGCTTCCTCCGCTTCTTCGTCGGCTTCTCCTCCTCCTCCTTCTGCTGCTGATGCTGGTGGTGATGGTGGGAGACGATGATCAGAAGATAATTCTACTACAGACTACTACTCTTAGTTGGAGCCCGCCCGCCCGCCCGCTTTCCATCCGCCGTCCCGCTCGCCCTCTCGCCGGCCCTCTCCCTCCCTCCCTCCCTCCCTCCCTGCTCGCCGGCGTCGCGTTGGCTGGGGTGTTGTTGATGTTGTTGTTGTCAAGCAAGCAGAAGACGATGGCGGGCGCTTTCTTCTCCTTTGCTGGTGGGTCAGGCACACAGACAGGCAGAGTCCACCACTGACTCCAGGCCCGTCCAGGGGGGTGGCATGGCGAAGGGGGGCAGCCAGGCAGTTTAACCTGCCTGGCTGCCCCCCTTCGCCAGGTTAAGGCGAGACGAGGCGGTTAATAATGGTCGCGAGAGCGAGTGACTAGTGGAAGATGTAGTGAAACGGCAGAGTGGCGAGTGGGGGGCTACTCTGACTCACTCGGTGCTGAGCTCTAATCATCTGCTCGGCCGAAGGAGGGGAGTGAAACAGGGGGTGGGGGGCTAGCTCGGATTGTGATTCTTTGGCATCGGGTCCACTGTGGATTGTCTGGTGGTGGGCGGAGAGTGGGAGCAGGCCAGTGGAGGAGCAGGAGGAGGAGGAGGAAGGAGGAAGAAGGAGGGCTTGGAGACGAGACGAGCGTTGAGTGAGACGAGACTCGACAGCGGAGGCAGCGGGGGGGTTTTGTTGTCTGGCTGGATTGGCTGGTGGGCTTGGGCCTGGGGCTGGGGCTGGGGTTGGGGCTGCGACTCGGACTCGGACTTGGACTTCTTTCTCCGGGTCTAGAATAAGGGCCTAGATTTGTGAAAGCTGCCAGCCGATGGCCATTCAAACCCCCACTCCCCATTCCCCACTCCTCATCGTCGTCCTCTCCCTTTCTCTTCTCTTCTCTTCTCCTCTCCTCTCCTCTCCCCCCTTCCTACCCCTTGCTAGCCCCCTTGTCGTTTGTAATGAACCCTTGCCCTAAAGATTCGTCTGGCCTGCACTCTCTTCTGTCTTGTCACTCTCCTCCTCCACGCGCCAGGCTTGTGCCTTCTCTACGTTCTCTCGCCTGTCGCTGTCGCTGCTGAGTGAGTGAGTGAGTGAGTTCAATCTCTTGCTACCTCTGCTCTGCCTCTGCTCTGCTCTTCTGCTGCTGCCGCTGTTGCCCCTTATTCTGGTTGGGTCTTCTTCATCTCATTCGCCTTTGGCTACTAGCTCCCTCTCCGGTGGCCCCCTCCCATCCCCCTCCCCACCTCTGTCTCCCCCTCCCTCCACTGTCGCCTCGCCTCGCCTAGACGTTTCTGGGTCATCATCTATAACCTCGGACTCTCCCTCAAACTCGGACTCTTCCTTCCCACTTTTCTTCCTTTCTTCCTTCCTTGCTTCCTTGCTTCCTTCCTCCCCCCCTTCCCCACTGCCTGCCTTCATTCGAGTCTCGCTCGTCCTCCTCCTGCTGCTGCTGCCCTCGCTTGCTTCTGCTGCTCTCTGTACTTGCTACAATCCTAGCACGTCTTTGCGCCTCTTCGTTTTCCACTTTGCGTTGTCCAGTCGTTGGGCTTCCGGAAACGAGAGTGTTGCCATCGTATCGGCTGCTGCTGCTGCTGCTGCCGTCCAGTCGGGGGATGTGGTCGAGTGTCTGTTAGCGTCTGCGGGTAGCTAGGACAGTCTAGCCCCTCAGAGAGAAAGAGAGAGAGAAGAGAGCTCATTGGGGTCGGAGACGGATGCTCGATGCTGGTGCGCGCCGGAGAAGTATATAGACTCGTGACTGTTTGATTCAGACTTGATCTCGATAGCGCAGCAGGTGGTGGGCGGGCGCTTACAGACACAGACAGCGCTTCTTCGCAGAGGATTGGTTGCGCCCACGGAGAAACAACGAGAGAAACGTTGATGTGCATCTGTTGGCCTGCCTGCGTGCCAGAGGCGCTCTAGAGGCGCAGAGAGTGGGGTGGCGGCGCCGGGCGAGGGGGCGGGGCGGAGGCGCAAATGGGGCGCGGAGGCGTGCATTGATGTGCAGCGGGGCGAGGGCGGGGCGAGGCCGGGTGGACATGTCACACGCCATGAGTGGTACGACATTCCTGGCCAAGCGACTCGGCAGGCGCGGGAGGATGGGATCTTGCAATGGTCTGGTCATAAAGGTTGCTTTCCGATGAGTTGAGGGCTCATTTTCTCGTTCTTCTTCGTCTTCTCCAGGTCGCCGCCGCCGCAGCTGCTGCTGCTGCTCCCGCAGCCGAGCGCCGAGGGATGTGCTTGTGATCCGGGGCGGGCGACAATCGATTCGGCAGGGCTGGATTGGAGGCTAAAGCTGGGGCATGAACGGCAAGGACAGCGAGCTAGTCGCAGCATAGGAGCGAAGCGCAAGCGGAGTTCAGGATTTGGAAGTAGTGGTAGCCTAGTCAAAGTGGATTGTGACGAGGAAGGAGGAGGGGGAGAGATGCCCTCTCCCTTTCCTGACGAGGTTCTGGAGCACGTGCTAGTTTTTCTGCAGTCGCACAAAGATAGGAACTCAGTGTCATTAGTTTGTAAAGCTTGGTTCAAGGCTGAGAAATGGAGCAGGCATCGGGTTTTTGTAGGCAACTGCTACGCCGTGTCGCCCCAGATGGTTATAAATCGATTTTCGAAATTGAACTCTCTGCACATCAAGGGCAGGCCTCGATTCGCCGATTTCGGCCTCGTGCCCCACCATTGGGGCGCATACATTTCGCCCTGGGTCACGGCGCTGGCCCAATCGTGCCCTTGGTTCGAGGAGCTCCGATTGAAGCGAATGACCGTCTCGGATGACAGCTTATTGATGATCGCGCAATCTTTCCCGAACTTCAAGTCCCTAATCCTTACGAGCTGCGACGGCCTCAGTACCGACGGCCTCGCTTACATAACCAGCAGCTGCAGGTATGATTTCCTCTTTCCCCGTCCCTTCCTTCCCGACATATCTCTCACTCGCTCTCTCTTGGGAGCGCCGGCTCGTGCCGATGTTCGTGCTACTGCTCTCTCGTCCGTATGGCGATCCTGCTCCCGTCGGCCCATGGCCACGGTGTAGTCCGTCACCCCGAAGTCGTCGTGGTTTCTTCCAGGGCGAGCTCGGCTCTCGCTCCAGGTCGTGCCAGCCATGAAATTTCTCGCGATTTCCGACTTCTGACAGCAAATTGGGACGAAAGTGAAGAGGGTTAGTCTTCGCGCACTCTTGCTCCGACGAGCAAATGTTCTCTCTATCGCTCTCCCGCCGCGCAGTGGAGTGGCCTTCGACTCCTTGAGAGCTCGGTCGGGGCCCCTGCCAGGGCCAGATTCAGACGCAGCCCTTAGGTCAGGCCTGCTGCCTCTGAGCGAGTACAGAACACTATGGGAGCTCTGTACTTGCACTCGTTCTTCTGTGCGGAGCTCGTACTTCCACACAGACGACGACGACCATCGTCATCCTCGTCCGTTCTATGGGCATCACCTCCTGCTGGGCTGGGGCTCGGTCGTCGCTCTGCGTTCAATTGCCACTGGAGCTCGTGTTGGTAACACTTTCTCGGGAATGCGGTGGCGAGTCGCTCTCAGGACCCCAAGGCCCAGCCCAGGCCTCGGCTCGAGCAACCTGGGGCTTGCAAGCGCACAACCGAGCGCACGAGCTCAGGAGCAGGGAAGCCTCATTCGCAGGCGAGACATCGCGCGCTTCATTTGGAGGAGAGGAGGAGAAGCCATTGTGGGGGTGTTGCAGTGGTCGAGAGTCTCGAGTAGGGTGCGGGGTGTGCTTTGAGAGGTGGTGAGGCGATCAAGCTTGGGAGGTAGTTGTGTATGGGGCTGGACATTGTGGGTGCGGGGCGCGATGATCTGACACTCGGAGCTTGTTTCTCGTTTCTGCGCAGGCATTTAGAGAGGTTAGATCTGGAGGAGAATGAAATTGAGCCGCGAGGAGGAGAGTGGTTGAGTTGCTTCCCGGACAATCACACGTCTTTGGTGTCGCTGAATTTTGCAACCGTGGATAGCGCCATAGATTTTGACGCCCTGGAGGCGCTGGTGGAGAGGTCCAAAAACTTGAGGAGCTTGAAAGTTCACAGGGAAGTGAACCTCGAGCAACTGAATCGGCTGCTGGCGCGAGCCCCGAATCTGGTGGAACTGGGATCGGGCTCGTACACGCAACTGCTCAAGTGGGGTCAATATTCCGAATTGTCCAGCGCTCTCGGCAGATGCAAGCAGCTGCGCAGTCTCTCCGGATTCTGGGAGGTGGAGCCCGTCTACCTCCCGTCTCTCTTCGCAGTGTGCGCCAATTTGACGAGTCTCAACCTCAGCTACGTCCTCCTCCACACCACCGAGCTCGTGAAACTCATACCCTACTGCCAAAACTTGGAGCGCCTCTTGGTATGTACTTGCCTCTCCCACAAGGCCTCGGGCTAGAGCATCGGTCCAGCTTTTGTCTTAGTCGCCACCTTTGATGGTCGAGTTCAGCGAATTGACGATCCACGGTGGCCTCTCGTTGCGTTGCGCAGGTGCAAGACTACGTCGGAGACAAAGGTCTGCAGGCAGTGGCGGTGAGCTGCAGGAATCTGCAGGAGCTGCGAGTGTACCCGTCGACGGCCGAAGGGTTCGTGACGGAGGAGGGGCTGATAGCGATCTCGGAGGGGTGCCCGAACCTGATGAAGATTCTTTATTTTTGCAAGTCGATGACCAATGCAGCAGTCATAACTTTCGCCAACAAACTCCCTAATTGTACTCACTTCCGATTGTGTATATTGACGCCGGGGCAACCGGATTGCGTCACGAACGAGCCCATGGACAAGGGGTTCGGAGCAGTGGTGCAGAACTGCAAGAAGCTCACTCGGCTGGCTGTCTCGGGGCAGCTCACCGACAGGGCCTTCGAGTACTTCGGCATGTACGGGAAGAAGCTGGAAACCATCTCCATCGCCTTCGCCGGGGACAGCGACCGGGGCCTGGAATACGTGCTCAAGGGGTGTCCCAACTTGCGCAAGCTTGAAATTCGAGACTGCCCTTTCGGAGATGACGCCCTGCTGTCGGGCGTGCATCGCTACGAGCAGATGAAATCTATGTGGATGTCTGCGTGTAAGGTTAGTCGTAACGGGGCCGTCTGGCTAGCCAAGTCGAAACCGTCTTTGAACGTGGAGATTATAAAAGAGAATACGGATGATGATCCTGCTAATGTGCTCAATGTCGAGAAGCTGTACCTGTACCGGACTTTGGTGGGCCGACGATCCGATGCCCCCGACTTTGTCGAAATAGCACAATGACATGAAGAACCAATTGTCAAATTGCTGCCTCTTTCCTTGGTTAACTTTGTGATTTCCTCTCTACCGCCCTTCGGTTGCCAGCTACTTTAAATTGAAACGCAAGTCTCTGTTTAGATTGGAGTGTCTTTCTACCAGTTGAAGGATTTGATTTTGTAAATAATAGTATCCTATTTTCTGGACGAAGGGAGAGATGTAGCATTCTCGTTATTGAGTGGGCCTCTCGGCTGATCCCGTCAGCCTCAGCCGGCTTCTTTCATGTGTAACTGTGTCAGACTTGTCATACTAGGGGGCCTGATCTGGTCGACCCGAGCTCCTTCGGCGAGCTGGTCGAATAGAGTGCTGAATGTTGAGACCGCCATAACTGCCGTTTTAAGCACTAGTCTGTACTTGCGAGAAGCGATGATGCATGATCATCCGCACTCGAGCACAGGAAGGGTAAATTGTGCCCACCCGTTGTCGGATGTTACATTGTGGTGTTCACGACCACTTAAAAAACTTTTTTGGGCAATTATCTACAATTTCTTGGATCTGTTCCGACCCTGAATACCTTTCTTCCGCATGAATGATGAGCAGTCCAGAGCGCGAGCTGCAGAGAATCAATCGGGCCGGCACTCGGTTGGTCGTCGGTAGATGCAACTTTGAGTATGCCCTGCCATTCTGTTCATGCATTATCAGCTCTCGTGCCCAGGACGGGACGCGTGTTCCTGAGCCTTTGTCTGTCACGGTCCTTCCTACTTCCATGGGTTCCACATGTCGTAATGAGTGAATACTTTGTAGCAGACAGAGTACCTTCTGATATGTCGTTTATTCTTCCACCCGATCCCATCAAGCGGGAGTTTGTGGAGGAAGAAGAGCATGTCTCCCAGAGTCTCAACTCCTCCATACCTTTTCCTACTAGACGCAGAGAGTATTGTTAGCAGATTCTGCTTGGGAGAGGAAAGGTGAAGAAGTGGTTCTCTCGAGAAGAAGCGAAGTCAGTGCAACAAGCACCGGAGGGATGGAAGGTGAGGGAGGACTGAGAGTGTAGTCCGTCCCAACAAAATCTGCCGGAGTCTCCCGGACGAAACTTACAGAAACATCGAAAAATCGGTTCACCACATCGGAATCACAGGTGGACTAAGTTCCCCAACCCACAATCGAGTAGAGAGGAAGAAACCGTATCCACCAATGTTTAAGGGGGCAACGATGCTAATGAATCTCCCTGAGCAAGGGAGATCGGCCGAGAGTTGGCACGGCCCTCCCGTATTCATATACATCACGAAAGGTGCGAGTCAGGTGTGGCTAGCACTTTGTGACCACTTGCAAGAGGAAGAGGTACGAATACTTAAGTGGAGGATTTGACTACGTCTGCCCGCAACAAGGCGGTCGTTAATCGAGTTTGAATGGAGGTATGGGTGATCCTGACAAGTCCTATCCGTAATAAGTGTAGTAAAGAACACGAGATGTAATGATCCCTTGACAGGATGAGTTGTAGAGCACACGCAGTATTCCACTTGCGCAGGTAAATGATCATTCATACACCGACCCCTCCCTCTAGATATCGCAAACAAGAAGTAGATCTGCACATAATGCCAGTGTAATGAAGAGCTTTTGACTGGATGTGAATTATGTACACTCACGTCTAACGAAGGGACAGATTTACACCCCCATCTCCACTACCACCACCTTGGAGCATACATACGTCGTACACCCATTCCTTCGTCTTCGATTGCCCCCGTCCCCTGCTAAGCACCAGTGGGACTGATGCCGGTGCTAGTCGTACCCATCTCCTAATTCTCCTCTCGAGTTCTTTCTTTCTTCTCCGTCCTTGTGTCGGAATCGGCATCGGCAGCAGCAGCAGACTCTGATCTGATCAGGGCAGCTGCCGACGGGGAAGGAGGGTTCACAAATACACCGCTGGAGTTTCACTGGCGAGATTAGACCAGAGCTAAACCGGAGGAGAGGCTGATGATTGGCTCGAAGCGCCGAGGAACGCGCGGATGGGGGCCAATGAGAGGGTGCCTTTGAGGAGGGGAGGAAGGGTGGGGGCCAATGGGGGAACGGGGCGAACTGTGCTTTATGACAAGGTCGCGAGAACCTTGGCGAGATATTCGGGTTCGGGAGACGGAAGGCGGATAAAGCAAAAGGCCAATTGCCACAATTCAAATTGACCAGGCAGCGATGGAGCGAGCGAGAGAGATGCCTGCCAGCCAAGCCGAGGACAAGTTGATGGGATCAGACACACAAGCAGCGCTGCTGGATGGAGTTGGAAAGGTGGCAGCAGCTCACTTCATTATGAAGAGCAGAACCTACTCACGCAGGTTAATAAGTCCGGTGCTCGTTTATGAGACTTCCCTCCCTCCACTCCTACTACTCCTACTACTACGACAACTACGGTATGCAAGTGTCTGTTGCTTCGCATACGAGTGAACGGAACGTCCGTTGGGTGCCAGAGTTAATGCCAATTCTCACTCGGATAAATGGCCGCATGCGACGACCGTAGCCCCGCGATAGCCCCCGCTTCTTCTTCCCCCACCCCCAGCCCCACCCCTCGTGGACGGGCTAGCGGGGACGGGAGGGCTCTTCCTAACGGTTAGGAGGAGGGGCAGGGGCTAGGCGAGCTTTGTCTGCTGAGCTCGGGAGAAAAGCTGGGGGCAGAGGAGGGGGGCTATTCATCCATGCATCCATCCTTACATGGGATGGGATGCGATGGGTCGATGGAAAAACGCGTGCATTTTGTTTGGCTTTTGCGGGGAATTATTTCGTAGGTCTCGCAGCGGGGAATGATTTTCGTCTGCTTCTCTTGACCGGAGGGTAAAGGACGGGGGGACCTGCGGGTAAGGTGCAAGTGAAGAGAGGAGGAGGGGGAGGAGGAGGAGGGGGAAGCTCATTCCTTGTCCAGGCACATAATTGATTGGAAGGGGGGGAGGGGGACGACCGACGGTGGTCGTAGCAGCGGTCGCAAGTGTAATGAACCTACGCTCGACGACGAGCCTTGTCTGGGCCGTAATTTGTAGTACTCGTCTGACAGCAGCGTTATTAAAAGCGCCTGCCGCTGCTGCTGCTGCAGCTGCCAATTGCCCCGCTTGCTCTCCTCGTCTCCTCATTCTTCCTTCCTCCTCTTCGTCGTCGTCCCCATTCTTCTTCTGCTACTACTTGTTCTACTTGTTCTGAGCCGTCTGACTTCTCCCCGAGCCCCATCCTTAGCAGCATGGCCTGGAACATACAAGTCTAGTAGCACCACCACCCCACCCACTGTTGGGGGAAATCATTCGCCTCTGTCATAGATGCCACTAGCATCAGCCGCAGCGATGCCTGATAAGCCCCGAGCTGACCTGCCCTGCCCCCCCCTGACACCAGGTCTGAGACTCTGAGCAGAGAGAGAGACAGAGAGAGATGGGCAAGCGGGGAGAACATACGGCCGGCTGGAGGAGCCCGAGCCTATGAGAACGGGGGTGGGGGTATCGGCGAGGGGAGAGGGGAGGGGAGGGGGGTGGGGCTGGGGTTGGGGTTGGGGGCGGGACAAAGACGCCTCACCCGATGCACGTTGGAGAAGAAAGATGGCCGCATTGACATCTTCTTCAATCGCCGGTCAAGGGCGAGGGTGGGACGGTAAGCGTATGGCGGGCTGCCACAGGCATTAATCCTCGGTAGATTCTACCACTGTTCACATACGCCATGCCATGACACCCGAGCGGATGAGCGATGGGGCCCGGGGCAGCTCAATACGTCCAGCTGAGCAGACGAGACGACTCAATGGATTTCCTTTTCCCGAGAGGGAGGGGGCGACATGGTCTTCCATCTCTCTCTCTCTCTCTCCCTGGGGTCTTGGACGGAGCGAGAATTAATTATCGATCAGGGGCGGGCGGGCGAGTCTTCGTACGCATACATACAGTAGTAGCTCAGTTTCTCGGTCTTCTCCTCGTCTGCCGCTGCTGCTGCTCACTGCATGATACACAGAACTCGCTCGCTCGTTGCTGCTGCTGCTGCTGCTGATGCTGATGCTGCCGCTGCTGCGTCTGCTGTCCTTGCGCGACCCCATTATCAAAAATAGTGAGTTTAAATCCTGCATCTCTGGCATAAATGAACGCATTACCGGGGGCATAAGCTTGGCATGCTGCATGACTCGACACAACAGACAACTCGCAGCACGCAGAGAGGCCTCGTCTCCCTCTGCAGCTGCGCTGCCCTCCTGTGTTCTGTTCTGGATGGGATCGAGACCATCTGTGTGTCTGCCTCGGTTTCTAATTTTACCGAGCGCCCCCTCTCGATGAGCAGACCGACCGGCCGGGAGGGCACTGCCAGCGGCAGAAGCAGCATGAGCATGAAACCAATTGGATGACATGCTGGAGGGGCTGAGTAGGAATGTGGCCAGAGGAGACGAGAACGGGAAGGGCAAGGGCGAGGAGGTGGGGGGCCACCACGAGAGGCGTGGTTGATGAGTTATTCAGCACATGATGAGAGAGAGAATGAGATAGACGGGGGCCCTTGTAGGCTAGAGCTAGAGCCAGCCATGGGAAATTCAATTAAAAGCCTTAAACAAACCGGGCAAAAGCGAAAGGATGATTCCCAGACTCCAGACAACTAGTTCTCCCACCTAATCAAGCCCCAACAAAAGACACTGCGATTGACCAATCGCCGCCCAACGCACAAGCGCAGGAGCCATTGGTGGTGGCCCGCTGACAAGAGGCGTTCTGGACCGGACTAGTTGTATTCTAGCCCCTTGTCACCTTAACCCCCCTCCAACCCCTCTCCCCCCTTCTCTCTCCCTTTCTCTCCCCCTCCCCATCCCCCTTTCCTTTCCCCCTCTGCCTCAAAGCATGGCCTCCCGCCTTCCCCTCACTGCGGTAGGCCCCGCCTCGTCCGCCCCTAATCTCCCCGAGACCCACCTCGGTCCACCCCGTTCCCGGCCCCCGCCCAGCCAGCCCCAGCCCCAACCCCGCCCTCAAGCCCCACCAGCCAAGTCTAGAAGCCAATGGAGGCCCTACAGAGAGAGGGAGAGAAGACGGATGGACGGACGGATGCGCTGGTGCATCTAATATCAGCTATCTGATCTGTACCTACGTTCCGTTGCCGTCGCCGCCCCGCCCTTCCAATCTGCCCTTGATGGATCAGGTGCTCCCCCTACCCCTTCCCTGCCCCTTCCATCTGGGTCCCTCCACCGACCACCCCCCCGGGGCCCCGGCCCAAGCCAGCCCCATGCCCCACAGCCAACCGCCTACCGCCACCCGGCCGGCGCCTGCCCGCCTGCCTGCCTGCCTTCTACCCCTTTCGCCTGTTATGTAACCGAGCGGGGGGTTGTACGTACGCGCGTGTGTGTATTTTGCTGCTGGTGCCTTTTAGCCTCCTCCTTGCACTGTACGACGTACACTCATACCCCTGCAGCAGCAGCAGCAGTAGTAGTAGTAGTAGTAGTAGTAGTAGTACAGCGATGCTGATGCTACGGCAGTAGTAGGGTCGGGCATCTTCGATGGATGGCAATCGAGTTCATCTCTCGATTGCTTGCTTTGCTTTCCTCTGCTCGCTGTGAGTGAGTGAGTGCTCGC